TGCTGGAAATTTGTGTTAATGCATATAATATGATATAATATGATAGTGGTGTTGGTGGCATGTATATAATATGATAGTGGTAGATTGTGGTAATATATAATATGTAAGTGGCATATAATGGGTTATGATGATGTTTGTAATATCTCCTATATAAGGAGTGTCATTTGGTCTTGTAAGATAAGAAGTTTTGAATATAACAGAAATATATTCCTTCTTCCTCATATTTTCGGAGTTCTTCTTCCTCATATTTTCTAAGTATATAAATAGTTGTCCTAGGCAATTACGTTGTTAGGATGACTAATCAAACGATTACTTACAACCTTCATACATGCTATGTTAGTACACATGATTGACAGTAGATCAACATTTGGTCCAAATTTTTAGTAAAATAGAACATACCTCATCAACAAAAACTAATGATGAGTGATCAATATAACATGAATCAAGTAACCATTTGAGCTCAGTATGAGAATCAAGCTCGGCCCTCTTCATGTTGATGATAGGCACAGTGCATAAGTGGCTACTTCTTAATGTTTCATTCAAATGGAAGGCATACATAATGGTTGACGCAACAGATCCAACATCTGAAAATAGCCACAGCAGATTAGCTTAGATGACTTACAATTGGTTCATCGCAGCATGTAATGAATAATAACTTGAAGAAGAGAAGAGAAGAAGACGAAGAAGTGACATCAATACATCGTCATCATTGTTCCATTTATAGTCTTTTTTTTCTATTTATGTATTAAACTAATGTCTATTTAGTTGATATTTGGGCTAGTTTTTCATACTAACAAGTGGTATCAACGTCATTGAGATTACCCCAGAAGTGGCTTGATATGATATCAGGGATTCAAGATACAAGCCAAACGTGCAGTTTGAAAAGGGGGTAGGGGTTCAAGATCCTCCACTTCTGACCATACCAAAGATATAGGCTCCCAGTAGTTTGGAAAATTTGATAATAATACAAAAGAAGCCCATGGAGGACGACACAGGTCAATCTATTGGAGAACCTGGTAGGCTGGAACTCAATTAATATTAATAACTTTTCATACCGGCAGCTGATACTGGTCTAGTTCCCTTTCTGGTCTGGGCTAGGGTTTTAACCTTCCCTGACCCTTAAATGAGTACTATTCATGAAACCAATGGAAATGGAGAAAAAGTAAAAGTAAATAAAAGTAAGACCTCTCCAATCATTCACCAAATTTTTCATCTAATTTGATTCCAAATTTGAGTAAAAAGCTTGATTTGATATGAGCTACTCCAATCCTTTCATCAAAATCTTTTAAAAAATTACTTTCTCATCCCAAATTCATTTTTCATCAATTTTGGTGAGAAAAAACCCAGCTCCAATCTTTCATCTTTTAATAATTTCATCTATTAGAATACTTATTTTTGTTCTTTTGTTCTCTTGTTAATATTTACGTAAGTTGAACGTACGATGGTCATATTGCTATGTTACGGTTTCTATATATATTTGACTGATGTAAAGTGGAGGAATAATGATTATTCAATATATATAAAATTTCTCTCTTCTCTCTTCTTCTTCTTCCTAAATCCCAACCCTAAACTCCATCTTTTTACATTCTAACTTGGTATCAGAGCAATCTACTCTTCATTAGAAAGGTTTCTACAGACTCTGGAGATCGATTTGAGGTGATCAAGAAGTGCTAATGTCATCAGCCGTACGATTACATTAGCATGACGTAAGCACTGTACAGATAGGTCCTCCACCCCTAGATTCGAATTATACTCCACAGATTTATGGTGATTTTTGTGAAATTTTTTTATCATCCCTGATGTGAGTTTTCTATTTTCGAATGTTTTTCCTGTTTTTTGGTGTCAATCTACAAATCTGGATTTGGAACTATTTTTTGTTGAATCTACTTGCTGGAATCCTATCTCTGGGAGCCGAAAATCACTCCTTCGGTGTTATTTACTATTATTTTGCTGATTTACAACTGTTGGGTTGATGTTTGATTCGATTTTGGACTCTTTCTGGTACTATACATAGTCGGCAGTGTTATTTTTCAAAATCTACCTATTGAAACTTATCGTATAAGGGCTGAAAATTATCTAGCAAGGTCTGGTTGATCTTAAAGTGTTGATTTATGTTGGTGGGTTGGTGTTTTTGGTTGAATTTGAGTCCAAATCTATTTGGTACACATAGGTTCTCCACTCATGCCTCTGTAATCTTGGATTCTTGTTGATTAAACTAGTTCTAGTGGCTATACTCATGGTTGTAAGTGTTGATTGGTGTGGAAAATTCCTATTTGCAAGAATTCTGCTGCATTCATACTCTCGTGTTAAGTATTTTGTGTGATTGAGTGTCGTGGCTGAAATTAAGACCAAGGCAATGGCTGTGAGTAAAGATGATGGCATGCCCAAATCTATTACTACCAAGAAGTTGAATGGTGCCAATTATTTGGCTTGGGCTCATGCTGTAAAAATTTTCCTTCGTGGTAAGAAGAAATCCTGCTTTATTAGCGAACTCCCTCCTGCCACTGACGACAAAGCTTATGATGATTGGTGTAGTAAGGATTCCCGTGTTATGGGTTGGATCTGGCATAGCTTGGAACCACAGGTTGCTATTACCGTGGAATTTTGTGATACCTCTAAGGAAATCTGGGACTTCCCTGCTGAATCCTTTTCGAATCAGAGTAATGTCTCTCAGGTCTATGAGTTATATGAGCAGATTTTTGCTATGCGCCAATCTGGCCGGTCCCTTCCCGATTATTATAGTAGTTTCAAGACCTTGTTGGATCAGTTATTGCAGTATCGACCCCTTACTACTGATGTGAACAAACATAAGCAACATTGGGAGGAGTTTATGATGCATTCTTTAATCTCTGGCTTAGATCCTGAGTTGCAAGGGTTTAAGGATTAGATTCTTGCCAATGAGACTCTATCTTCTGCTGCCAATGCCTATTCTAGGCGGTTACGCTCTTCATTAGGACAAGCAGAATCCACCTCTGGGTCCTCTACTTTATCATCTTCTGCATTGGTTTCTAGTAGTGATGATCATAGGTCTACTCGTGGGGGTTTTCATGGTTCATCTGGTTCCCGGGGCTTATTCTCGTTCACAGAGTTCTCATGGAGGTGGTTCTCGTAATGGTGGCTCACTTGGTGGTTTCCATGGTGGAGGTAGTAGTGGACCTGGTTCTCGTACACATGGTGATCGCAAGTGTACTCATTGTGGCTCCCAAGGTCATACTAAACCTTGGTGTTGGCAGAAGTATGGCAAACCTGATCATGTCCATCAGGTTATGGATTTTCCATCCTCATAGTCTTCCTTGTTGTCCACTAGCTCTGATGCTTCTCCGGTTAATTCTCATGAAACACTCACTACTCAGATTAGTGAGCTTACCGCTCTTGTCCAGTCTCTCCGGCCTAGTCTACCTTCATCCTCTATTGCTACCATGGCGAGTTTAGGTAATATTGCATGGGTGGCTAAGTCCTCTTAGACTTGGCTCCTAGACTTTGGTGCTAGTTCCCATGTCTCTGGTAATTCCTCTCTTTTTGATACTCTTAGACCTGTTGATCATACCATTATACTTGCTTATAGATCTTCTCAACCTGTCTGTGGTCAAGGTCCTCTTCATCCCACTTCATCCTTTTCCATACCTTCTGGCCTTTATGTTCCTAAGTTTCCATTTAATTTACTTTCTGCTAGCCAATTGACTCAAGCTCTCCATTGTTCAATAACCTCTTCTCCTACTTCATGTGTTTTGTAGGACCTCCAGACCAAGAGGATAATTGGTTTGGGGAATGAGAAGGATGACTTATACTTTTTGGACACTAAGACCTCTCCTCATCCTCCATCTACTGTGTTGACTGCTACTGTCTCTCCTCTTCAGTGGCATTTTCGCTTGGGTCATCTCTTCTTGGCCAAGCTCAAGTCAGCTGTTCCTGGTTTGAGTCATGTTTCTCAGATTGAGTGTGAAGCTTGTCAATTTGGGAAGCATCACCATAGTTCTTTTCCTAGTCGTAGTGTTAGTCGTGTGTTTGATCGTTTCCTCCTGTCCATACAGATATTTGGGGTCCTTTTAGAACTCCCACTGTTAATGGTTTCTTTTATTTTGTTATTTTTGTGGATGACTACTCTCGGATGACTTGGTTGTTTTTAATGAAACAAAGATCTGATATGCCTTCCATCATCTCTAAGTTTTATAATGAAATCTTTACTCAATTTGGCAAACGTATCAAGATATTTCGGTCTAATAATACCTTAGAATATGTGCAATCTATTGTCACTACCTTTTGTGATACTCATGGTATTATCCATCAAACTAGCTGTTCTCATACATCCTCTCAAAATGGTGTTGCCGAGCAGAAACACTGCCATTTGTTAGATATTGCTCGCACACTGATGTTTAATATGCATGTCCCCAAACAATTTTGGGGCGATGCAGTTCTCACCGCTTGTTTGCTTATTAATCGCATGCCCTCTAGTGTTGTACACACATCTCCCTATTCTCTGTTATATCCCATAACATCTCCTTTTCCCTTGCCTCCTCGCATTTTTGGTTGTGTGGCCTTTGTCCATGTTCTTGACCCTGGTTTGGATAAGTTATCTCCTCGAGCACGCAAGTGTATGTTCTTAGGCTATTCTCGCACTCAAAAAGGGTATCGTTGTTATCATCTTGAGTCACGTCGCTACTTTGTTAGTGCTGATGTTACCTTTTTGAGTCTACTCCGTTTTTTTCTTCCTCTAGGCAACAGTTATCCACTAATCTTCTCTCTTATCGTGAGGGGGAGCCAGCCTTTCTCACTCTTACTCTTCCCTCTTATGCTCCTTCCACATCCACTTCTATATCCTCTCCCTCTTCTCTTGCTTCTACTCCTCCCTTGCAGGTTTATCAACGGTCTCAAGCTCATCGCATTGTCTTATGGCCCGACCAGTTCATCTCCTTCGTCTGAGGTCCCTGTTCTACCTGCTGATATGCCATCTGATGACCTTCCTATTGCACTCCGCAAAAGTAAATGAATTTGCACTCAACATCCTATTGCTAATTTCGTTTCTTATGATCGTCTTTCTCCTGGTCTTCACTCTTTTGCTTGTAGCTTGTCTAGTATTTCCATTCCCCACTCCTATCAGCAGGCTATGTCCATCTCTGGTTGGAAGCATGCCATAGATGAGGAAATGTATGCTCTTCATCAGAATCAGATGTGGGAACTTACCCCTCTGCCGTCTGGCAAATCTATTGTAAGTTGTCGTTGGATTTATACTGTTAAGTATCTTTCTGATGGAACTGTTGAGCGACTTAAAGCTCGCCTGGTAGCTAAAGGCTACACCCAAACCTATGGTGTTGATTACTTGGAAACCTTATCTCCTATGGCTCGTCTTAACTCTGGTCAGATTCTTCTCTCCGTTGCAGTTAGTCAATCTTGGCCTTTATATCAACTTGATATCAAGAATGCCTTTCTTCATGGTGATCTCCAAGAGGAGGTCTATATGGATCAGTCCCCTGGCTATGTTGTTCCCGGCCAAAAGCATCTTGTTTGTCGATTGCGAAAGGCCTTGTATGGCCTTAAGCAGTCCCCTCGTGCCTGGTTTGATCGCTTCAATACTGTTGTGCTTGCCTATGGATTTCACCGTTCCACCTTTAATCACTCTATTTCTATTTGCCACTCGTCTACTGGGAGTATTGTTCTTATTGTCTATGTAGATGACATCATCATTTCAGGGAGTGACTCCAATGATATTGCTGATTTGAAGCCATATTTAGGACAACAATTTCACACTAAAGACTTAGGCCTCTTGGGATTGAAGTTGTCCGCTCTTCTCAGGGCATGTTTCTTTCTCAACGGAAGTATGTTCTTGATCTTCTTACTGAGACTGGCCTCTTAGGCACTTGCCCCAGTGATGCGCCCATGGATTCTAGTGTCAAGCTTGATGGTGACACTGGAGACTTATTTCTCGATATTGGTTGTTATCGTCGGTTGGTTAGGAAGTTAATATATCTTACTGTCGCTCGTCCAGATATTACTTATGGCGTGGGTGTGATCAGTCAGTTTACGCATGCTCCCCGCCAACCCCATTTTGTGGCTGTGTGTCGTATCTTGCAATACTTGAAGAGTGTTCTAGGTCAGGGTTCACTCTATCGCCCATCTTCCTCTTTGTCTGTCACTGGTTTCAGTGATGCTGATTGGGCTGGTAATAAGGCTACCGACGTTCCACCTCGGGCTATTGTACTGTTGTTGGTGGTAATCTTGTTACTTGGCATAGTAAGAAACAACTATTATTGCTCGTTCTAGTGCTGAGGCTGAATATCATGCCATGGCTCATACTGCTTCTAAGATGCTTTGGATTCAGTCTCTTCTCCAAGATTTTGGCTTTTCTGTTCCCACTCCTATGAGTATGTCTTGTGACAATCAAGCTGCTATCTTCATTGCCAATAATCCTGTGTTTCATGAACGCACCAAACATATAAAAGTTGATTTCCATTTTATTCGTGATCTCTTACTCCGCAAGCAACTTATGACTCCTTATGTTCGTTCTGTAGATCAATTGGGTGATATTCTAACCAAACCTTTGGCTTGGCCTTCGTTTCATCATTTATCCGTCAAGCTGGATATGTTCGATCTCTATGCTCCAACTTGAGGGGGGGTGTTAGAATACTTATTTTTGTTCTTTTATTCTCTTGTTAATATTGTTACGTTAGGGTTTCTATATATATTTGGCTGATGTAAAGTTAAGGAATAATGATTGTTCAATATATATAAAATTTCTCTATTCTCTCTTCTTCTATATTCTAACTTCATCAAACTTAAGTGGAAAAAGGCTTGTCGGAAATCTAGTGAAAGATTTTATTCATCCTTGATTTGATGAAAAATTGCTTTTCCTTTGATTTGATACAAGTTTGATGAAAGGATTAGACTTCATTTTCACCAAAATTTTTATCAAATTTCAATTTGATAAAGGATTTGGTGAAGGATTGGGGATTCTTTAAGAGCATCTCCAACGTTTACTCTTTTGTTCATCAAGTTTGAGTAAAAATTTGAGTAAAAGCTTCATCTAATATCGCACGTTCCAACGGAGTAATCTGAGATTTCATCAAACCACCAGTCATCCGGGAGGACGACAGGGGGATGTACGGCCAGTCGACCGGCCAGTGTAAATTTTTGAAAATCCTGAAACAAATTTTGCAAGGAGATGGTCAACCAAGGAGACAACCAGCCGAACATCTGGCTGGTCGTCCAATGCTCATGCCTACCTATAAAGCTAACAGCTATCTACAGTAATTTGATGAAAGACTCAAGCATCCTCAATTTGATGAAAGATCTGAGATATTTTGAATTTGATATTGGTTTGATGTTAACATTGTTGGAGCACAGTTTTTAATAGTTTTTAATCAAATTTAAATTTTATGAAAAATCTGATGAAGGATTGGAGATGATCTAAGGGAGTTGTTCTAAATTGAGTAAAGTCAAGAGTTCACAAATGCAAGTTACCGGCGAGATCTTGTCCGATAACAGCATGCAAGAATTTTCCTGGGACACCAGCATTAACATCATCCCTTCTTGCTTTAAGATACAAATTTAACCTGTTGATGCTGTCACATGATTCCACAATTTCTATTTGTGGCGAGTACCCATTGTAAAATGATGCCGCAGATGGTGGAAGTGGAATTCTGGAAAGATTTGTTACTCTCTTGTTTAGGCCATATGATCTTTCAATACTGGGCCTTGCCATTCCAGTTAGAAGCCGGCATTCTTCAGTTGCTTCACTGGCCGTTGGGCTGGACTCTTTTATTAACCCTTTTTCTTCCTCAAAGTCAATGCTCAAATCAATGCTTGGGGATAGAAATGGTGTTGTTTTGGGGATCTTTGACCATCTCCCCGATGAAGACTGACTGTAGGGTTCTAGAATAATGTCTGCGGGTGAATCTTTCGAAGGACTGTACAAGAACTTATTAGATATATCTGTAACAATGTTTCTGGATCTGTCACCAATATCTGATGCTGATCGAGAAATATTCCTCTCTGCTGCCTTTTTCTTGAAAATCAAATATAGTAGTCCTGTCCACCAAAGATGCGTTGCTTCTTCTTATACCATCAAAGAATGGGTTATCTCGTGCACGGATATATGGTTCCTGCAAACCAAAAGAAAACTGTATTTAAACAACAGTGATATCATGGCAGAAGCAAACTAATAACATTTTCTAAGGACAAGCTATACCCACATTTTTCCATAGATATTCACAATATGTATCATTTCTTACATGACAGGAAAGCAATGGACTATATAATCACTATTGATGACACAACGGGGATTGATTGACATCAACAAGAATCTGGTGAGGGTTCTGTAAAGTATGATGTGGTCTCATGGCCTCTGGAGGGAATAATGGTTTGTCCCTGAGAGAGTACAAGGCTTGATTAACGATGGGTACAGTGGCAGTGACACCAAAGCTTTAATCAAAGATGAGGCTCTGATACAAAGATGCAACACAGTGAAGCAAAAGCAGTAGGATAGAAGGGAGATAAACAAAGAGGGAGAAAAAAGCAAAGAAGAAGAATTAGAGAAAGAAAGGTGAAAGGGCGAAGAAAAAGATGATGAGGTAGAGAGAGGTCTGTAGAGAAAGGTAAGTCCAAAATCTTCAATTCTCAATCATACCCCAAAATTCTAAAGATTCAATACACACTGAGCCCTTTATATATAAGCATTTTTGTTAGAATTGTGTGATTCACAATTCGATTCATACGATTCAATGAGTTTCAATCAAAACAACTCAGCATATGTTGCAATCAAAACAATTTGAATCGTCTTGTTAAGTCGGAAATTAAGTGAATCAACATACACCAATCATGCATGGGACAAAGTAGTGCCTACTTTCATTTAAGATGCTAGGGATAGTGAATACTCGCACCTTCCCAACACTTTAGTCTGTAAAACCCAAGTGAACTCAATACGAGTTTCAATCAAAACAATTCGAATCATGTTGTTAAATTGAAAATTGAGTGAATCATGCAATTCACTGCAATTCATTATGTTATGACTCACTATTGTTCAGTTATGTTTTTGTTTGCACAATGTATGAAACCCATCATTTCTACTAATCTATCCAACAACAAACAAAAAAAAAGAAGAAAAAAAGATATGAATTAGTTATATTGGCATACATAGTTTTTTATATGTGTATATATACAATTTAATTATATTGATATTTATTTTAATTTAATTTTTATATGTATGTACATATACAAAATTATATATATTATATTAAATCAAATGAATCTTATCATTTAATACGATTTGAGATTCATTATTTTAGCATAACGATTCATCATTCTATTCATAATTTGACAACAATGTATACAAGCATGTCAATAATGGCATTATTTATGAAAACAAGAGACAAAATCCTGAGAAAAATCTAAGAAATAAATCCAATTGCAATTGGATTATTTAAAAAGTATTAGCATAACAGGATCAATAAATTATTTTACACAAAGCATCAACTCAGTAAAAATCAGGTTTGCAACAGAAGGGGGATTAGAAACTAAAATTGCCCAGTCGTGCGTGCCTCGTATATTATCATCAGATACAATATACTACATTATTGGTACACATATAAGGGGGGAGAGAGAGAGAGAAGGAAAATCTGTAGTGATATCAGGGAGTACCTGGTGATTCTGAGGCAGAGAATTGGAGGGAGACCTCATGCTGGTTTTGTTGTTTGGGAATGGGAATGGGAATGAGAGGATGAGTTGGAGAGAGCGGAAAAACAGAGTGTTTTTCAGGAGAAGGACCAGACGGCAGAATCTAAAAGAGGACAAACATACAGCTCATATTTGAACACCACCTATTTCTTGGAGTCGTCTTCTTCTTCTTTGTGAAATCCGCCATTACAGCGACTCAAGCTGTCTCTGCCCCCTCTTTCTCTCTCTTCCTCTCTCTATTTCTCACCTCTTTTGAAACGCTTGTTTTTGGTCCTCTACTCCACTCTGTCTTATTCGGGGGCGCACTGCAACAGCTTCCTCTTTCCTGCTTTATCTTCTTTCCCAGCACTTTTAAGAAAATTGTACGTTTTATTTTTGTATTTTTTATTTTTATTAATTTTTTTAATATTTTAAACAATTTTTTTAATATTTAAACATACTTAACATAAATATACTTAAAAAATTAAAAAAAATTAAAAAAATTTTTTAAATTTACTAAATACAAAAAATATAAAAAAAAATACGAGAATGCAGTATATTTTTTATATTTTTATATATTTATTAATTTTTAAAAATATTTTTCATAATTTTTTTATTTTTTAAATACATTATAAGTAAGGTGAATCAAAAAAGTAAAAAAAATATTTAAAATTTTAAAATATTACTAAGAAAAAAAAATGAAATCAAAAACATATTTTTAAAAATTTAATTTCAAAAAATTCAAACATATATAGATTTTCCAAAAAAAATACTATGCAGATGAGTCTCTGCATCCTCGGGTGCAACTCGGCAGACACAAATTCAAACTCACTCACGAATTTTCCCTTTTTTTATTTTTTTTTATTTTTTATAGTAAATTACACTGTCAAGTAGTCTTCAAGTTTACACTTCATACTGATTTTCCTCACATTTTGAAAAACTACGCTCCGTTTGTTAAGCTCTTAATTATTCATTAAAATTGATTTGAATGTGATATTTGTTTTAAGTTTTAAATAATAATTTTATGTTCGTTTCTTAAACTCAATTCAAAATATAATCATTATTTTCAAAACTCATAACCAAACATAATTCAAAACTCAATTTAAATCAATTATTTAATATTTAAAAAATATTTTAATTTGTTAAGATTTTAAATATTTTAATATTTAAATATGTTATGATTTTTTAATTTTTTTAATTTTTGAAATATTTTTAAATATACGATTTTAATTTTTTAAATTTTAAAAATATTTATAAAAATAAATTCAAATCTATTTTATACAAATATTTTTAATATTTTAATTTTGTTTTGGTTATGTAATTTTATGGTAATGATTTGAAATGTAGAGTTGTGATAAGTAGGTATAGAGTTTCGAGTTATGTGTTTGGGATTATGAGTTTAAAATAATTTCTTAATTGAGTTTTGTTTATGTTTTAGTTATGATTTGAGTGTAAAGTTGTTTTTAAATTTTAAAATATTAAAATTTAAATTATTTAAATTTTTACGATTTAAATTTTTTGAATATTTATTTTAATTTTTTACTTATTAAATTTTTTAGATTTTTTAAATTATTTAAATATTTATGATTTAAATTTTTTGAATATTTATTTTGAAAAAAAATTGTTCCTTTTGTAGTATTTTCAATTAAAAAATTGATTAATGTTATTTTCTGTTAATAATAAAAAAATTTAATTGAATTTTAAAAATAGTTTGGTTATGAGTGTTGATCAGAATTTTCAATAATGTGAAAGTAGTCTGTTTTGTTATGAGTTATGACAATTTGAATTAAGTTTTGAAAACTCTTTTAAAAACTCATAACCAAACAAATTTTCTTACTTCACATGTCAAATCAAACTTTCAAAATTCAATTCCACACTCAATTCAACACTCTATTCAAAAATCATATCCAAACAAATTTCTTACACTCAAATTATAATTTTAAAACACACAAACTCAAAATAGAATTCATATTCTCAAATCATAATTAGAAAATCTTATCAAACGGAACCTTTAACTCTCTCTCTCTCTAACTACAATCTCTCCTTGACATTTAGGCCAAGTTTGGGAAGACTAAATAAGTATACTTTTTGACTTTTCTTATATTATGTGTAGAAAAAGTAGAGAGGAGATGTTCATTGATGTGACCCAAAAAAGATAAAAAGATGAAATAAGTGCACTTTTTTAGTTTAGCCAAACTTGACCTTAGGCCTAGTTTGGGAAGACTAAATAAGTGCACTTTTTGACCTTTTTATGAAATATTGATTGGGTTTGGTTTGGTTTGGGTTTGAAGTGATGTGTTAGAGAGGTGATGTGACTTAAATAAGATGATGTGACTTAAATAGGATAGTGACTTTTTAACTTTTTGTCTTTTTTTAATCATGTCAAACTTGACCTTAATATTAGATTACAGACTACCCTATGCTTAGTCAACTAAGTGATTTTTGTTAGGTTAGCTGTTTTTTTTTTTTAATTACCAATTTTACTGTTTCTTTACTTCCCTCCTTTTTATATTTGTTTTTATTTCTTTTCATACAAACAACGCATTGCCCCATCACCACCTAACAAATCAAAGCAGGCTTTCATGTTCAAAGAAAATTACTTCTTTGAATCAATTAATTATACATGTAATGCGCATAAGATTTTCGGTGCAATAACTCAATGCAAAATAACTAATGCAAAAATCCAAAAACAAATAGTATAATCAACACCCAATCAACGATATATAGATACCCACAAGAAACAACAAATAAAATAGCGTCGAAATTTCAACATAACACATAACAATGAAGTAAATGGCTATAATTATGAACTGGGCATTTTCACACAACACTAAGGGGTTGTTTGGGGTGTCCTAAATAAGTGTACTTTTTGTCTTTTTAGACTAAAAAGTTGAGGTTGAAAATATGAATGTTTGGGTTAACTTTCGGTGCAATAACTCAATGCAAAATAACTAATGCAAAAATCCAAAAACAAATAGTATAATCAACACCCAATCAACGATATATAGATACCCACAAGAAACAACAAATAAAATAGCGTCGAAATTTCAACATAACACATAACAATGAAGTAAATGGCTATAATTATGAACTGGGCATTTTCACACAACACTAAGAATGATTATAATGCACCAACATTACATCAACAATGCTATCCTCAATCTCTAAAGAAACCCACCAAGCCCAATCACATAGCATATTGATTAGTCATAGAAACCCTCCAACCTCCAATGGTTCATACTGTATGGATGTGTTTCCAAGAGAATAGGATGAGTGGAATTAGGCATTGCCAAAATTCTTCGAAGACCCAATTTATTTACTTCAAAACATATTAACCCTAAAACAACGAAATAATCAGAAGATGATGGAGCAGAGTCAAATTTCGTCGTCTACGACTTGGTTGCGTCGGACGATGAGATAGACTTTGTCGATAATCGCTACAGTAAACACTTGACAAAGCTTCATTATCTCATTTATGGATGCCGGCATGATGGTGTAGTTAAGGATTTGGTGGCAATGGGTTCAGTGATTGGGATAGAGACATTCACAGAGTAGTGAGTTTCGATGGGTTATAGCGGAAGATGTGAAAAATGAAAGAGGTGAGTTATGGAGGATGGTTTGAGAGAGGGATGAGAGAGAGCGGTGAAAGTCATATGGGAAGAAAGGTTTGTTATTATTTGAGGTAATTTGATAACTTTCCTTTTAAAGTGTGAGGCTATTAAAGTAATTTTTTATTTTTTATTAACCCAGTTAAATACCCTAGACTGACAAGGGGTGCAGTGTAATTTTTGAAAGGTGGAGGCATTTGTATTAAACTCAAACCTCAGGAGGTGTCAGTATAATTTACTTTTGTTTTTATTTTTATTTTTATGTTTTTTTGGAAGATTTGGCTGCATGTTTTTCAATTTAGTACCAACTTAGCAGAAGTTTATTATTTTAAATTAAAAAATTTTAGCTCAGCTTTGGCAAAGACACGTGACACTGCACCCATATGTTCTGTTGGAAAACTAACTCTTTAAAATTGATTATTTGATTTTGTTCTATCTTTAACTGGGAAATTGATTTTTGAACTGAATTATTCTAAATCAAAAATTCAAAAATTAAGTGTGTAAAAATAAAAACTCCCAAAATTAAATAAATAAATATATAAAAATATCAATTATATATTTTTTAAAATTTATATATTATATTTATTATATTTACATAAATAATATAACACAAAACTAATCATTTGTTTTACTAACTCGAAAATGACAAAGACTACTTGTAATAACATAGTCATCCCTCGATTCTCAAATTTTTTTATTTTCTACCTCCCTTTTATTATAAAAATAATATTAATAAAATTAGATAACTTAAACAAATTTTATTTGGCATTTATAAACAAAACAAAAAGAGTTAAACTATGATCCCAAATAAATTATCAGATTTTATATCAAACTTGGATGTGAGATCCATACATATATAATTTGTATGAGTCTCACACCCATATAAGAGATTTAGTAATTTATTTACAAAAATCAACGCTCCAAGTTTGTACGTAATTTCTATCGAGTTGCACTCCTATCTCAGTCCCATTTTGTGCACCCAAGTAGGGGAAAAAGTAAATACAACGATAGTGATCATTCATGAGTTCTCCCAATTATAAATTAACTCCGTCATGTATATAGGTAACAGTTACAAAATTACAATGAATTAAGTAATTTAATTTGAATATAAAAATTATTGTCCATATGCAGTTTTATAATTTTGATTTAAAATATTTTATTTATAAAGATAAATTTTTACAAAATGCCCAAACTATCCAGAATATATATAAAGTATAGAATTATATTTCTTAAATCAAACTAAACCCTCTGTTGCGCTCTCTCTCTCTGTGGTCTCTTGCTCACTCTCTCTCTCTGCCAACTGCCACCACCGACTGACCACTACTTTCGTTGTCGTAGATCTGCCGTCGTTGCCTCATCTCTCTCTTCTTCCACATCGCGCTCTCTCTCCTCTTCACAACCATCGTCACTGAAATCCTGCTCTAACAGCCACTCCACCATCCTCTCCGATTCTCCAAGATCCTCTCAGATCGAGCTCTTCGTTACCAGATCATCGTTAACAAAGACAAGGTCGCCTTTAAGGTCAAGAAAGTCGCCGACAACAACGCCTTTGACGGCAGTGAAAGGCGACGGAGCTTGGCCCTCGACTTTTTCCTCGGCGTTTTCATCTTCTCCGTCTAAGCGCCCTTCGAAGCTGCCAATTTCTTCGGCGAGCCCTTACACCTAGCCTACTGTGCGTACCGGATTCCGCACTAGATGAAAGTGGATTGGGGCTCGGGGCTCCGCACTTGGTTGGACTATCCAGGGA